CGTTATCCTCCTCTCCCCCATGTGACAGGGGTACGGGCGGGTGTGTCTGCTTATGTATGCGCGTGTATGTGTATGTTTATGTGTACGTGTGTGCGCGCGTGTGCGTGTGCGCGTGTGCGCGTGTGCGCGCGTGCGTGAGCGCATGTGCGCGTGTTCGCATGTGTGCGTGTGCACGTATGCGCGCGTGCGCGTGTGATTGTGTGCGCGTGTGCACGAGTGCGCGTGTGCACGAGTGTGCGTGTGCGCGTGCGCGCGCGTGCGCGTGTGCGCGTGTGCGTGCGTGCGTGTGTGCGCGTGTGCGCGTGTGCGCGTGTGCGCGTGCGCGCGTGCGCGCGTGCGCGCGTGTGCGCGTGTGCGCGTGTGTGGCCTGTGTGCGTGTGTGCGTGTGTGTCCGGGTGTGCGCGTGTGCGCGAGTGCGTGAGTGATTACGTGCGTGAAAGCATGCGTGCGTGCGTGCGTGCGTGCGTGCGTGTGTGCGCATGTGCGTGTGTGCGTGTTTGCGTGTGCGCGTGTGCGTGTGTGCGTGTGCGTGTGTGCGTGTGTGCGTGCGTGCGTGTGTGCCTGTGTGCGTGTGTGTGCGTGTGTGTGTGTGTGTGTGTGCGTGTGTGCTTGTGTTCGTGTGTGCGTGTGCGTGTTTGCGTGTGCATGTGTGCGCGTATGCGTGTGTGCGTGTGCGTGTGCATATGCGCGTGTGTGTGAGTGTGCGTGTGTTCGTCTGCGTTTGCGTGTGAGTGTGTGTGTGTGCTCGTGCGAGTGCGTGTGCGTGTGCGCGTACGCGTGCAAGTGCGCGTGCGTGTGCATGTTCGTGTGCGTGTGCGTGTGCGTGTGCGTGTGCACGTGCGCGTGTGCGTGTGCGTGTGCGTGTGCGTGTGCGTGCGTGTGCGTGTGCGTGTGCTTGTGCGTGTGCTTGTGCGCGTGCGTGCAAGTGCGCGTGTTCGTGTGTGTGTGTGTGTGTGTTTGTGCGCATGTGCGTGTGGTCGCTTCCTCTGCAATCCGTTGTGAACGGAGCAACTTGGTGTTGTCGAGCATGTTCCAGCGCAGCGACGCCCGAGACGAGCGTGTATGAGAGGCCTCTTCTTTCTGTCATCAGTCTTGATGGCCCAGACATAGAGAAGGTAGTATGGAGGAGGACAGCAGTTGGGGGTGAAGAAAACGCATTAATTGCGAATGCTTGGCCGCTTCCTTTGCAACCCGCGATGGACCGATCAGGCTGATATTGTGGTGTATGTCCGAGCGCAGCGGCGCCCGACACGAACAACAGCTGAGTGTAGCTCCGCTCCTTGGTCCGCTGCGCCACCATATTCCTGGCGGTGTTGGTAGGCCCTTCAGGCCTGCCCTTAGGGGCCCGAGAGTGAAGAGGGGAAGGTATGAAGGCGAGGTGAAGGAGGAAATGGCAGTTATTGCAAGCGGTCGGTTGCTTCCTTTGCAACCTGATGTGGACCGAACACGTTGATATTGTGGTGCATGTTCCCGCGCAGCCGCTTTCCGAGACGAGCAGCGGCCGAACTTAGCCACGCTCCTTGGTCCACTCCGCCTCCGTGGTCCTTTGGCGCAGCAATGGTGGGCCATTGAGGCACGTGGCCATCCGGACAGACCATGGAGTCGGCATCTCTTACTTGTTTAGCGTGCATGGGTAGGGATTTCCTTTTGCCGTCACAGTTGGCTCCCGACAAATAGGGAAAGGATGGACTGGAGGAACAGAGGCAAAGAGGTGGATCCCGAAGACACATCGGAAACCTGCGCATATATTGGTTGCCTCTGTATTGCAGTCGGAATGCGATAACGGGTCGCAGCTATTTAAATCATCGGTGAGGCAATAGCAAAACATGGGTTCGGACATGTTACATGTTACGATGTTAGGAGTTGGGGATGGGGGAAGTGGATCCGGAGGACAGCTCAGCATTTTTCGCATAACTTGATGTTCTTCGGCATTGCAGTATGAAGACCACCATCCATATGCCGATCTGGACACAGCAAACGACGTCTGCTCCCGTGTTACCACGCCGACGGCTACGAGGACGGCCGCGAGCACGACCGCAACTGCAAAGACGAGCGGCATTACGATCACGGTCACGAGTACGAGCACGATTACGGCCAAAAGCAGGGCAACGATTACGACCAAGGGTACGACTGGCACCACGGTCTCGACGACGAGCGCGGCCGCAAACACGTCCACTCTCACCAGCAGGATCAAGATTACTACCACGCGTTCGGCCACGATCACGACCCCGAGAATACTTCGCACTACGGCCAACACAATGAGTATGACCTCGGATGCGACTGGGGGCAACCCACTTCGGACTTGCACTACCGAGCGCAGCATCAGCACAACCAGCACCCCTACGTTCACGAGGATAAGCACAACCAAGAGTAAGGTTCCCACCACGGCCCCCACAAAGTCAGCTAACACGACTATTTCTCCCCTCCCCGTTGGCAGCCGCCCGCTCGCACTATGCCGCGCTCCTCGGTCCGCTCCGCCTCCAATTTCCTGGCCGTGGTGGTGGACCCTTGAGGCACGTGGCCACCAGTGCAGAGTATGGCATCAGCATCTCTCAGTTGATTTGCGTGCATGGGAGGCCGTTTCTTTCTGCCACCAGTCGTTGCTCCCGAGGCTTCGAGGGAAGTATGGACAAGGAGAAACAGGAGGAGGCTGGAGGTGGCGGTGGAGAAAAAGGCCCTGGCGTTAGGTAGGGAGCATGTCGACCGTCAACATTACAATAAAGAGCGTGTCAACCGCCAGCGGCAGAAGCATGAACTTGACTTGTCTAGGACCCTGTGTGAGGGCATGTTGGAAGGGAGATGAGGGGTAGGATGCTGGGATGGGGAGGGGGGGATGGGGACTACCAGCCTACGCCTGCAATGCGCTTTGCCCTCGCGGGCAAACGCTGTTTCCGTTTCAATATGCACCTCCTGTACCGATTATTTCTGCACTCTGGCGGGTCTACTGCTTGTTCTGCCACCATTTGCCGCGTGAACGCTGCGGCTCGGTAGCCTGAGCCCGCTCAACGTAAAACGCGGAAGGGCCCAGGCCCAGGCCCTCTGCCATCTGGACAGCGGCCCCCGCCAAGCCAAAGAGAAAACGACGGAAAGCCTCTGGAGAGGGCTTCTCGAGCCGCCAAAGAGGTCTGGGCGCTCGGACCCCTGCAGAGATTCCCAGAACTCCTCGCGCTGCGAAAAATTACGACGGAGGGGATTGGGCCGTTTCAGGCCTCCCAGGGCCGCCCCAGAGCCCCAACAATCCCAAGGACCAGCAAACAACGGTTTGGGATGAAAAACGGGTCCTGGGGAAGCGCCCAAGACCCATGGCGGCCCACGTTGCCAGAGAAACGTGACGTCAGAGGTCTGGGGAAGGATCCGGAGCCCCGTAAACTCGGGCCTCAGCATCGGGCGCCACGAGGAAAGGCGGTTCCCGAGGGAAAGCGGACCCTGGACCCCGGGGCGTTTTTGTCCGACAAGGGCAGCTATATCCGCGCTTTGCGCTTCGCGGAGCGCTTTGCGCCGCCCCACTGGGGGAGAAGAGCAAGACGAGGATGAGAATGAGAAATCGCGAATAGCGGAAATCGCGAACCGCGAATGGCTTCTTGACCTCGTAGCGGGCCATTTCTGGGCACCTCATACCAAAAAGCCGCGTCCAAGGGCGATGTGCCCTTCAACCAGTCGCCGCACAGACGGCCTGTAGAAGAGTGGCTCCCGCAGGCCGCGGCGTCGGCGGGCCAACTATGGGGCTCCCGGCACGGTGCGGTTACAGGTCGCGCGGTGACCTCGCAGTCCCCAAAGAACTCACCACACGGTCCGTCACCGCACTGCTCTGGGACTCTGGGTGCCCCAGTCGACCGAGACATCCTCAAAGAACTTCCTGAGTCCAAGAAACCCCGCGGTCACCCCGAATCCACACTGACTGAACATATCGTGTGGTCAACGTCACAGACGAAGTCGGTCCCTGGGGTAAGTTAGGCCAATGTTTGTAGCACTTTGATGCCGATGTTTTTACAAAAAAGGAAAACAAACAACAACAAAAAACGGTGTGGTCACTACAGTCTGGAGCCCCGACAGTTTCTCGGTATGAGTTGTTTTGTGACGGTCCTGGGGGGCCAGAAGCGGCCCCCGCCGGAACGCCAAAAAAGTTGGAAAACGATACAGACGATGTGTTCGAGCCGCCAAAGGTCAGGACTCGGAGCCCTCCCTAATTTCGGAACTCTCGGATGCCTCCAGAATCCTGGGTGCGAGCTGGAGCTCTCGCGGAGAGGAGGAGAGGAGAAGAGACGAGGACGATAATGAGGGGAGGAGGGGAGGAGGGGAATAGAAGGGGATGTGGAGAGGTAAGGGACGACGACGACGACGACGGACGACGACCCTGGAGGTGCAACCTGGAGGCCCCCGACGCTTCACGGACGAAAGAATCAACTTCCAACGACCTCGACTCTCGACCTGGACTCTTGGACCCCTGGACTCCTGCACCGTTGGACCCTGGACCCCTGGCCCCTGACCCCGGACCCCTGGACCCCTCGAACCTTGGACCCATGGACCCCTGGACCCCTGGTCACCAGGACTCCTGGACCCCTGAACCCTGGAACCGTCGGCCCATCGACCCCTCTAGAGCAACCAGACACTGCATAAACATTAAATGTCTCCAAGGCCCGCGCGCGGAAATTCGAGAAAGCATGTCGATGCCGTTTTTATTATCAGAGCGACCCCATCGACCCCTCGGCCCTCGATCCTGGGGCTATCCTTGGGCCTTCTCGGAGACTGCCTCCCACGAGCCTCCTATGTTCGGCCTCTTTTAGGGCTGCGTTTGGTTGCCTTGCGGCCCTCCTGGGGTCCCCTCTGGGAAACTTTAGGCCCTCTCGAAGCTTTTTGTGGTGCCCTCTTGGGCCGGCACTGGTGCCGAGAAGCCCACTGAAGCCCGCAGCGGCAGAAAAATCGGAACCATGTCAAAGCACGTGCTTTTGTTGATGATCGCCGCTCGATCGTGCATGATCTCCGGAGGGGCGAGCGCAGACCCTCGGCTGGTCCGCAGCGGCGCTGGGCCCCGCGGCGGGGGTTCCGGAAGCGCCCGCGGGCAGCTGCCACAGCGCCTCCAGCAGCCGCGCCGCCTTTGCCAGGGCGGCCGCTGCTGCTGCTGCTGCTGCAACCGCGACCCCGGCAACCTTCCCCCCCTTTAGCACTGGTGACCCCCCGGGGTCAGGCGTGTGAGGGCGCCGTCCAGTCCGCATGCACCTGTGCACCCCGGCGGCCTGCTGCTGCTGCTGCTGCTGCTGCTGCTGCTGCTGCTGCTGCGCTGCCGGTGGGAGGATAAGGACGGAGGATCGAGGACAGGAGTGGGAGAACATTTAGGAAGGAGGAACGAGGGGATGGGAAGATCGAGGGGAAGGGGGTGAGGGGGGGGGGATCGGGGGATCGGAGATCGAGGGGAGGTGGGATCAAGGATCGGGCATCGAGGGGGGGGAGCATAAAGGATCCACGCTTGGAGATCGAAAAGAGAATCAAAGATCGAGGATCGAGGTGAGGTGAAGGAGAGCCCTCCCTTCCCCCCCAACCATCACCCCTATCCTCCCCCCTCTCCCCCTCGACGTACCCTCCCCCCACACACACACACACACCCCGAAGGGGGGGGAGATGGGGGCGGGGGGGAGGGTAGGAGAAACGAGAGGGCAGCATAAGCAGGAAGGGTGGAGAATGGGGGAGAAGGGCATGGAAAAGGAGGCGGAGGAGGAGGGAAGGAGGGGCAGGAGGAGGAATAGGATGATCGATGGGAAGAACAGAGGGGGAAGGGAAGGATGGGGAGGAGGAGGAGGAGGAGGATGATCGGTGGGATGACGAGAGGGAGAGGGGGGGAAGAGGGAGAATATGATCAGCAAAGGGGCAGGATGAGCAGGATGGGAAGAGAAGAGTCAGGACGATGGAAGGAAGGGGGAGCCAGGGGAGGAGGCCGAGGACAACATAATAGGGTGGTAAGGATGCGGAAAGAGAGGATGAGGACCAGCCTCTTCTCCACCTCAACCATCCTCCTCCTTGTTTCAATGACTGCGTCAGTGGTCCCATGTCCATTCCCATTCCTCCTTGTCCCCCTCCCACCTACCCCCTTTCCTGTGCTGATTCGCCTTCCTCACTTTCTTTCCCCATGCTCCTCCCCTGGAGGAAGAGGTCCGAACCTCAACTTCGTCACCTTGCGGTCGTACATGTCAGAAGGGGGTGCCACCAGAGAATGGATGGGGAGATACGAAGGAATGCGGTCATCGCCTTAGCGACGCGCGCATTCGCCATAAAGTGTGCAACATGTTCACGGATGGAAGGCGGGACGTTTTCAAAATGCTGTGTTACCCTGGGCACCGCGAATATTCGTCGTCAAAGAGTAAAACATATTCAGAGATGGATGGCGGCTACGCTTCAAAACGATAGCGCCGCGTACGTTGGTCCTGAACGCTATCCGCTGTGTCGAAAATTCGTAGTCCTGGAAATTGTGGTCTGACACGCCTCAGGATGGCCCGGACGCAACAGGCACGCGGATTCCGAGTGTTGGAGTTTCAGGAATGGTGTTCAAGTGCGACGTATGGTTGTCAGGAAACAACAATTACGTCAACTCGCGGCGCTGAAGTCCAATGAATTATGTTTCGGCACGGTTGATAATTCTCGGGCGGATGTTCTCCAACGGGGCGCTTCCCGAAATGACAATAATTTCGTGCATGGTCATCTGAAGATGACACTTGGAAGGGGGGTGATGATCGTGGAAGATGGACACCGGTCCTCCTCCTACACCTCCTCCTCCTCCTCCTCCTCCAGGCTCCCCCGTTCTCCCACATCCTCCCCCACCTATTGCCCCCTCATTCATCCTCATCCTCATCCTCATCAACCTTTTGTTTTTCCTCCTCCTCCTCCTCCTCCTCCTCCTCCTGCTCGTGCTCCTCTTTTTCATTGCCCCCCCCCTCCCATGGGTGCTCCAACCGCCCAGCGCCTGGGAGCGGGGCGCGTCGCAGGCGAGGTCGCCGCCTGCAGGGGGCGGCTCAAAGGCAGCGGGTGGATTCGGAACGGCTCTTGGCCTCTACGTTCCGGACGCGCATGCGAGCGGAGGACCAGGTAAAAAGGATAAGGAGGAGGAGGAGGAGAAATAACGATAAGAAGGAGGAGGGGTAGGACACGGAAGGTAGCCTACCACCCGACCGATACTTATAGATGACTTCGCAACTATGGTCCTTACATACCAGAGCACCAACACAAGGTACAACCAACGATCACACTCCAGCGTACTCCAAAAAACACAATTGACGCACAACGCACAGCAGCGGCAAACAGCCACCCGACCCAATGGCCTCTACCAGCACAATCTGCACATCCCAACAGCACGTCCGATGACACATACGAAATTCACAACCACGACAGAAACAACCACATACCCTGCACGGGAGCCCCACGGGGCAAACCTGGAGGGGGGCATCGGAAGTGGGGAAAATGCGGTGGATGAAACACGTATCAGTAGTTACTCGCCGACCAACAAGGACTGCTGCGATCATAGCATGCACGGCCATACAAATACATGCAACCTATCACGATACGATCGAATGTCGTACACTACATACAGGGAGGGAAGAAAATACCTCACGCGTCTATGTTTCAGATGTTCCGTACAGCAATGCCCCAGGGCCGTTTACAAGCAGCTGGCGACACGGTACGCTCTCACATACATCATGGCAGGTCTGAATGCTTCCTCGGTAAGCCGATACAGGGATGACACTAAAATCCGCAGATGGATTCTTCCCAGATCGATCCGCAAAGTCTTGGACTGTCAGCCTTATACCTTGCATGGGTGCATGGTAGACCTGTCGGGCCTACCTGGGGGAGACGCATCAACATTGACCAAAAGACCACAGCAGACGCGACTCCCCATGCTACCCAGCATTACACCTGACTCCAGGCACATGCCGTCCACCAGCACACGCTGCTCTGGCACATCAGAACTTCCACGTCGACGGCTCATGCGAGCAACAGCTTCATACCCCGCATGGGAGCCTTGAGCGGCATACCTGGGGGGAGGCATGCACGATGGAGAAATGGTAGATTAATGGGCAGGCGGTTGCTACTCTTCAGATGACTTCACGTAGCTCCAGATTGCCACAATTAGTTTGTCAAACAGCTGTAACAAATAATCATACCCACACGGCCGCACTAACACATGCAATTTTCACGGTTCGGCAACACATGACTTACATGACATACTGGGAGGGAAGAAATACACCTCACACGCCCACGAAGAGACAATTACGATAAATACATTACCAGGCCGATACGACCTTACACGCCGCTGGAGGCCGCACTATTGCGTCCATCACAGTTGGTCAGTGTGACGCCCCCCGGCAATCTGGCTACAAAACATCCAAGTGCTTCCGCAGGGAATCTCTCTCAAGCACGACGCTCACTTTGAAAAAACTCCATGCCCTGCATAGGGGGGGCCTAACGGACGCGCCTGGGGGACAGGAATTTAATCTGCGCGGTGCCCCACGGCCGACGCGACTGTCATCATGCTGCCCAACCCACTCCACAAGACCATTAGCACATGACCTCCAAAGGCACTACGGACCAGCACTGCGACTCACAGGCGATGGCAGAACGCCCACAACGGCGACCCGCGCGACAGTCCCACGCCCTGCATGGGAACTCAGAGCGGCATACTAAGGGGAGGGGCATGCACGGACGAGGTAGAGCACATGCGGGCAAGCAAACGACTGGAGACACAACCCAATCGACCCCAGGTATTGCTGCATTCGATCAATGGAATGTGACAAGACCCTGCGATCCGCGATCATAACACACAGGGTACAAATACACACTTCGCCATCAACACTCTTGCAGCGCGACACAGTTACGATAGCTGGGCCCCATCTCCTGCACGGGGGCCCCATGGGGCACACCTAGGGGAGAGGCGTCGGGACAGAGCCATGGGAAGGCACCGATGACGTCTGGGGGGCCATACATTTTGAACGACTGTCGCTGTCGACCACAGATTCCCCTAAAATTTGCCACCTCTACCATCAGGCGCAAACTTGTTGCAGACATGCTCGCCCCCACGCGCAGCATCAGCACAATGCCCCCGACGCCGCCCATGCGACCGGGCCAGTAGCAACGCATTCGCTACCCTGGAGGGCAAGAGGGCCAGCGCACCACGGTTGTTTCCCCACCGTCTTTGACGATTCACATGGCGCGGCCACTCAAGGAGGACGACGACATCGCGAAGGGGCGCAAACATACGATTGACCCACTATACCGCCAATCCAACGAGCAGTACATGGACGGCAACGAGACAGCACCACCTCTACGTCGCACCCGCAGCAGGACCAACAGGCCAGACCTACCACGCACAGCCAAGCCATCCACATACGACCCTGACTGCGCTCAATCACGAAGAACACACGTTGAACCAAATAAACGAATCGACCTTCCACCGACCATGGGCAACATGCATGCTCGCAAGCAAAAACACACGCGCGCTCACATCGCCCCGCCAGTCAATTTCCAGCAGCACAACTACGTAAAGCCGACGGCGCCACAACCTACGAGTGCGAAGTACTCAACCAATGGGTGGGCACAACACGATTCAAACCATGCCACCACATAGGACCTACACCACCGACGCAATAAGAGCTCAATGCCGCACCCACCAGAGACAACCCGAATCGCCTCAGACTCTTTGCAACCTCGTGGCCACGCCCATCACGGAGCTCCACCCAAGCGAGCACCTTATACATGACGACCGCAAACCGACGCGCAACACGACCGAATCCCCCAGCGCCCAACCGCACCCAAGGACCCCAATTCACACGCGGACCTCCCAAGTACATGCAAACAAGAGACGGGTTCTGATTTCGCACTGACTTACCGCCTGACGACGGGCACTAAGAATATTAGAGCAACAGCTGGCAGAACGACGCGACATCGAAAAACGCCATTACGACTACCTGGGAAAAGAGCGTCACAAGTGCAACGGCCAACTGAAACTGTCACCGCCAGAGCAGACTATCCCACACCTCACCTTCAAGAAACATTACCCTGGCGACGTACCCAACCCCTGCGCAAACGCGGGGCGCAAATAGTTTAGGACACTTTATAAAGGGGGCGATGACGGAACGAGGGTTACATATGTCTGCAGACGGAATTCGGGACACTCGCAGGACAGTGGCTACAGGACAAGGGCTACTTAAAGCTGTTTAGTTACAATCCCTGAGCAACCCTAGCCACTTCGAAGGCGGGGATCTCAGATCGCAGCCCCCCAGGGATGGCGAGGTCTAATTTGGGTCCGCGCGTGGCGACACTGTGCTGGCCCCCCCACCAGGCCTCGAAAGTGGCGACAGTTTCGCAGATCGCAGCCCCCCAGGGATGGCGAGGTCCAACTTGAATCTGCGTGTGGCGTCACTGTGCTGGGCCCCCCAGCAGGCCTCGAAAGTGGCGACATTTTCACAGATCGCAGCCCCCCCAGGGATGGCGAGGTCTAATTTGAATCTGCGTGTGGCGTCACTGTGCTGGGCCCCCCAGCAGGCCTCGAAAGTGGCGGCAGTTTCACAGATCGCAGCCCCCCAGGGATGGCGAGGTCTAATTTGACTCCGCAGTGAGTACCCACTGTGCTGGCCCCCCAGCAGGCCTCGAACGTGGCGACAGTTTCACAGATCGCAGCCCCCCAGGGATGGCGAGGTCTAAGTTGAGTCCGCGGTGAGTACCCACTGCGCTGGGCCCCCCAGCAGGCCTCGAAAGTGGCGACAGTTTCACAGATCGCAGCCCCCCAGGGATGGCGAGGTCTAATTTGAGTCCGCGGTGAATGCCCACTGTGCTGGGCCCCCCAGCAGGCCTCAAAAGTGGCGACAGTTTCACAGATTGCACCCCCCAGGGATGGCGAGGTCTAATTTGAGTCCGCGGTGAGTGCCCACTGTGCTGGGCCCCCCAGCAGGCCTCGAAAGTGGCGACAGTTTCACAGATCGCAGCCCCCCAGGGATGGAGAGGTCTAATTTGAATCCGCGGTGAGTGCCCACGGTGCTGGGCCCCCCAGCAGGCCTCGAAAGTGGCGACAGTTTCACAGATCGCAGCCCCCCAGGAATGGCGAGGTCTAATTTGAGTCCGCGGTGAATGCCCACTGTGCGGGGCCCCCCAGCAGCCCTCGAAAGTGGCGACGGTTTCACAAATCGCAGCCCCCCAGGGATGGCGAGGTCTAAGTTGACTCCGCGGTGAGTACCCACTGTGCCGGGCCCCCCAGCAGGCCTCGAAAGTGGCGACAGTTTCACAGATCGCAGCCCCCCAGGGATGGCGAGGTCTAGTGTGAGTCCGCGGTGAGCACCCACTGCGCTGGGCCCCCCAGCAGCCCTTGAAAGTGGCGACAGTTTCACAGAGCCCCCCAGGGATGGCGAGGTCAAAGGCGGGGGGGAAGAGAGGGACGGGAAGGAAGGAAGGAAGGTTCGCGCGAGCAGTGCTCTATTCACAACGAGAACCCAACGCAGGAGGGTTGGGAAAAAACGTCAACGAAGCAGGCGCGACACAAGCCGCGACTTCACCCCACCAGGGCCAGCAAAGATGCCAACGCCACCGACTCAGGACAACCAAAACGAACAGCAAGACCATTGGCAAGACAACCCCGTCCTGTGATACGACCCTACCGAATGAAACAGCAACAACGACAGGCACGACCCATGGGCCAAAATGATCAGAAAATCCGACTCTAGAGAAGTTCGCTTATCACCGTTCAAACCTAACAGGTACCTCGACATGCACCCTCCCGGCGGCTGGACTGCCCACTGCCACTACGCCAACGGCACAAGACAAGGAAGGCCAAGCCGAAGACCAATGACACCGTGCGTATGCAAACACGATGCAACCAACACATACACCCTCATATTCCCAAGCGGCGGCCAACTGCAACCTGGCCGGCACAGATACCTCAACGAGCGCAGCGACAAGATTTTTGCCAGCCAAGATGGCCCGCAATGCCTACCGCATCTGCCATTCCTGCCCGA